TAAAGTGATTTATTATATTATTTTAGAGAAGTTAATTTTTTAAATTTGAAAAGTATATTTACAAAATGCTTATCAAACAATTTAGACACTGAGGAGATGAACGATAGACACTGCTTTTAAAGAGGTTATAGTCTAGTGAAGTCCAAGGACCAAGAAATAATTCTGATACACTATTTACATGTTAAAAGAGGTTATGTACTGTGTTATGGGAGCATACATGAGGGTCACTTAATTTAGCCTGGCTGCTAAAGAATCCAGTTTTAGGCCTACTGTGTTGAAATGCCAGTGAGTTGTCAATAGAAGCTGGATGTATGGTGGAGCAAGGAAAGGTCATAGAGGAACTCTAGGGGCTGACTTCACAAGTACTACAAATCAAATGTCTCTAGAGGTACTTGTCACTCATGTGTAAATGCTGTTCTATTCCTTATGATTGATTTCAGGTGTATATGAAAATGCAGTTTAAATATAAATATTATTTAGGTTGGCTTAGGAATTAACCAAAATTAAGACTTTTAATGATATATTCGGTTAGGAAAATTTAGAGAGGAAGGGAAATATTCTAAGGAAGATAATAATTTCTAATCTCATTTGCAAAGAACCTTTTGATTAATTCCTATAACACAATCTACAAAGTTAATAAAAATTGAGTTACTAAAAATTGTGAAAGTAATGAAAATTTGGTCACAAAATTAATCTAAAGTATCAAATATTTCAGTTTAAATATAGTTTACTTAAGTTTTCTTCAGACCTATTTTAGAGTTTTATTGTGAGTTTTTTATTATAACTGATGTATGTTACTAGTAGAGAATTTAGAAAAATGTAGAAACAGAAAATTACAGAGAAGAAAATGAAAGTGCACATAATTTCACCTCTCTCATATTCCCTCCTCAATAATCTCTTGACTTTTGATAATTGATATTTACATACACAGATACACACACATACTGATGTGTATACATGTGAGTTCTCTAGTCTATTTTAATTTTGGAGATGTACAAAATACTCCTGTGGTCACTAGTCCTTTAAATATAGAACAACAGTGTAGTTTAGTGAAAAGAACCCCAAATTGAACTATCAGATCCATTTTGTAGCTATACAGAATAAGATAAATTGTTGAACTCTGAGCTGGCTCATGCAGTTTAAAATTCTGGCTCTATCTTTATTGCCATGTAACCTTGGGCAAATTTATTTACCGTCAGGAAACTCAGTTCCCTTATCTGTAATAATAGGACAATAATTCCTACTACATTTTTATGAATAATGGATCAAGACCAAAAATATCGATGTGACTGAAACTGAAGAAGCAGTCCAGTGGAGAGATTGCCGTTTTCTTCTTCTTAACTAGGTTGGTGACAACAGACACAGGGAATGAGAGAGATTTGAGGCATATTTTGCAGTTGACTGATACAACTTTCCAGTAGAGTGAAAACAGTTTAGGCATAATAGAAAAAGGACAAATGAAGGATAAAATCTAGGTTTCTGGTTGAGTAATGAACGAGTAATGATTCCACTTACTACTTACAGAGAAGTGGTGTGCTGATCCACTGCTGACAGTTACATTGTGCACACAGAAGCTTGAGATAGCCTGTACATGATTGAATATTGAATCTGGAGTTCCCAGTGGAGGGAGTCAATGCTGAAGATATACTTAGAGGAGTTGTGAAGTTGTAAATGTAATTTAAACTTGAGAACTAATTGAGATTTTACAAGGGAAGAAAGAGACTGAGGAGGGAAAGAAAAGGAAGAAAAATAACCAGAAGGGACAGACTGGCTCAGGAAACGCAGCTGCTCCCCATTCCATCATCTCCAGTGCCCTGCAAGGAGAAAGAGCTCTTGAAATTAATCCCACTGACTCTTTCCTTGGTTAATTTGGCCGAGTAGGGAGGGGACAGTAAAGACATATACGAAAGCCTTAAATAGAAGCAGCTGCTGACTCTGGGTAGTAATATGATGACTATTTATTTAGCTTCAGTGGAATAATTTTGGTGAGTTTGATGAAACAGTTTAAAACATTCTTATGCTGACTGTATGTACCTTTATGTCTTACCAATTAAAAAAAATTACATGGATAGATTTACCATGTGGACTTGAGATGATTTTAGGGTATAAAAAACTTGGATATGCCATGTGTTGAGTTTGAATTAGCCCATTGAGCAGATATTACTGTTACAATTCTAAAGCACTCTGTGCCTGTTAATGATGGATGATCATTTCCCTTTGTGCTTTCCCCATTGTTATGAAATAAAATTAAATTATGTTGGCAATTTACATATATTATTCTGTAATAGTAACTGATTTTTTGTTGGTATTTAATGGAAAGCAATAATTTAATAAGCCAATGAGAGTTTAAAATGATTATTTTATGAAGTAAGGGACTTTTCTTCATTCTCCTTATTCAACCTGTAAGCTTGGGGACATTTTTTACCTTTCTTTTTTTCTTAAGGAATGAAAGAGAGATGAAAATCTACAGCATCCCCTGTTATGGGCTGCACTGAAGTTACTAAGTTAAAAAACAAGTTCAGCAAGTTTTAAAGAAAAGACCTGTTAAGCAGAAGGCAAATATTTTCATTAGTGCTGAGTGGAGAAGGGAAAGTTTCATATAACACATCAATGTTCGATCACTTCTCACCTGAAGGCCTTTTAAACTCAGAGATGAGAGGGAGAAAACAAAATAAAGAATTTGAAGTGAGGAGAATTTATGTCAGCAAAACATTTTTTTTCCTCACAAAATACAGAAAGAAGAGATGTTATTTTATTCAGCACCTTTGTACTTTTTCTTAGAAGAGAAACTCATCAATTATTTTGGATATGTTTTTGACTAGAATGGAACAATTAAGGATAGCAACTAAAAAGAAGATGCTAAATGTAGTAATAAAGATCGGGAAAGAAAGTACATTGTTTTAGCACACTGCATGGTGTGTAATGTGCTGGAGATCCAGGTGGCTTTTCCACTCCTGAACATCATCTAACACCTAGATGGCTCCCAGAAGGCTTTATTTACCTCCTGGAAGGACTGTGATGTCTGGATGTGCTGGAACTGAAGCAACACTGTGGTGGGGGGCATCTATAAAAGAGGAATTTCTCCTGATGTGGCCCTAGAACCGGGGAACTGAGTTGGGAAAGTGGAGAGTGAAGGTGTTCTGTTTTAAACCCATGAGTGTAATTATTAGTGAGGAGAGTTGCTTTCTGTTATTTGTGGTAACTTCAACCCAACTCCAAAGGAAGCTCACTCCAGGAACATGAAAAATCTGTACAGAAAATGCTGAGGTCCCAAACCACTCTGATCATGAACACATTAAAGGAACTGTTAATGCTGGCTGGAGGAAGATCCACTCACCCCTCTACGTACACCCCCTTCCTCCTCTTAAGGAAAGAAGGAAAAAGACAGTGGGAAGAAAGAAGGCACAACGACAGTGGAGTCATGCCATGATTTGCCTACATTACTAGAGCAACAGGGTTCTGCAATGGAGTAGCAGGGGCAAGGGAATAGGCACTTGTGTCTGTAGAACAAAATCTAATGCTACCCAGAGACAGGGTGAGATTGGCTGAAACTTGTGGAAGGAAAGAAGGGTATGAAAGCTCACGGGCTAAAACAAACAAACCAAACCTATAGTAACTGTATTGTCCCCTCCTGCTGCAAACACATTCTCTCATGTTGGTGAAAACAGGCAGCACGTATCCATACAGAGGTTCTGTTTAACACGTTGAATGTCATTGTGACTCAGACACCAATAAATTAGAAGGGATGTTGTAAAGCCTTGGAACAGATCCTAGAGGATGCATGCTGCCCCAACCTTAATGCTTTATTTTCTAGACAGTGCAAGGACTGTGGGAGAGTGACAGGATAGCTGGGGAGACAAGGGCTCAGAGCAGCAGCTCTTTGCCATGTAGGTCAGAAGCATTTACTATTTTAATAACCTGTGTGGCCATATCAATGCTTGCAACATGAATATAAACTCTGACTAAATTAGAGAACAGTTCCCAAATGCTCCGCCCGTCTTGAAAACTTGAATCAATAGTGTGCAGCATTTTTTTTACATTTTAGTTCAATGAATCTAAGCATGTTTCCTTAATTATTCATCAAGTATTTATTTTACTAAACATCACTTTTGATGGTAGAAAAGATTTTAGAACTACTTATTTTGAAACTTTCTTTATACCTCAGATCTATAATCAAAATTAAATTATTATGAAGTGGCTTTGTAGGTCCAGATCAAAACTTCATTCATGTATTCAAACATTCCAATGTAAACATGCATTTGAAATATCTCAGGACCATTAAAAATAAAGACAGAGGAAGAACTCATTTAGTACAACCTTTCCAAGCATGATTTTCAAAAGGTAATCAGAATAGCAAATAAACTGAGCTAATCATAAATTATGAAAAATTATTAATAGGAAAGATTTCTTTTTTTTCCATCATTGATGCAAATAGGGAAGAAACTGACTTGGCTACAACTCAATTCTGCCAGCATGGCAGATGGAACGGCTGTCCCAACCATCCAAAATCGACCATGCACATTAAATTAAACTACTTTCCAGCACTGAACTGGAGTTTGTTCTGCCCTCCTATGAGCCCTCCGTCGATTAAAGGCCATACATTCCAGGGGGCAGCAAGAACTTGTGATCCTGAGAACCAAGACTGTCCAATTAGGTGGCTCAGGGTTTCCCTGGTTATGAAAGGAATGGAAAAAGATATTAGGGAACTTGGAGAGTTTTCTGTTTGGGAGAATTATAGGCAGAATTTAGTCCTCTCTTCATGTACATTTTCCCAAAGAAAAAAACAAAAGACAATAACAACAACAAAATCCCATTGCCAGATAGATAGGTAATTTTTCAAGTTAGGCTTGGATCACCAGTGAGTGATACACATACAGTCTCCATGCTCTTGCTTCTACTTCAGCCGTCTCATTAACTCTTCCTCTTCTGATTCTTCCTTCCTTCATTTCAGTCTTCTTCCCTCCCATCCCAACCCAGCCTCCTCTTTCCCCTCCTCTCACCTCCCCTGTCCTCCTTTCTTCTTCCTCCATCTCTCAGCGTCTCTGCCGTCCTTGTTCCGGCTTCCTTCCTCCCGGGCTCTCTCACTGCTCTCAGGCCAGTCACACAACACTCCCCTAGCCCTTTCCCTCCTCTTTGAAAGCTTCAGCGCAGATAACGCGGCACAATGTTGGGAATTTGTCAGGGAGTTTTGTGGGGATAGGAGATAAGGTTGAATAAGAAATATTTTATGATGTGGGTATTTTTAAAGGTTTACAGTGGTAAAATATTCAGCTTCTCTACAGTTAAGATCATTAGAACAAAGTATATAAAATGGTACAGATTAAACTAAATGTGCTTTAGTGCTACTGACTAATTAAACTAAATGAATACTTATGATTTGTTTGATCATTTTCGCATCAAGAAAATTTCTCAAATGGAGGATAATTACAGCAAAAGCCTAATTAGATGCTAACAGGCCATACTCTTCTATTCTGATACATTAGTGATTTCTTTTGTGTTATAATTGTTGTATTCATCAGAGTAAGTTAAGTGTTGCTTTTCCAGGATTCATGCAGAACACTGCAATATGGGGAGTGTGACTTAAGGAAGAATCAGTATTTGAAATGAGTTTGATATTTCTGGTCCAATTCTTTGCAATTTTATTATCTGCACTGCAAAAATTTCTAAATCATTTGGCACCACTGCTAGTTTTAGCAGAAAACATGTCTTGAAAATCACCTTTCCCTCATTCTATTATTCAACTGAGAATCTCAAATGTACTTGTTTCAAGCTCTTATTGATTACTGACATGCTCATTATTTTGTGATGACTACCAATTAATAAAAACCACACAACAATGTCATTTTTATCCTGCAAATGCAAGAACAATAGGTTAAATGCATTATGATTTAGGGTCTTGAATCTGAATTAATAAAGGAAATGAGAGCTACCAGTTAGCATTGACTTATAATGATTATGAATGGCCAATGTACAAAAAATTACAGGTATAAATACAAATGTAGATGCCTAATGCAATGTTATGTTTTAGTCACAGCCATCTTCAAAGTTGAGAGACAAAAGAATAAGGAAGAAAGCCTAGAGGAGACAAAAGTATTTGATTTATACAGCACAAGGACCATTTCTTCTAAACAGATCTTTTTTAACCAAAGTAATATGTAAACTAATATTGTAAACATAACTTTGAACCTCAACTATTGAGATGTTATTTACCACAATAATATCAAAACACTGAACTATTGTTACCAATAGAATCGAGGGACAGTTACCATATCAGCACTTGGGGGGTAGATTTATGAAAGGTTATTAGATCATGAAAGTATGCCTCTAAAAAAATTACTATAGGTAGTAATTTTTGGCAGAACTAGAAAGGACGGAATTTTAAATATATGCTTGAATCCCACTTTGAGTGGGAACTGTAATATTAAAATTAAAGAAGTTAATTGATTGATAGGGATAAAGAAACTCATTCTTACCTCTCCAGATGGAGAGCCATTACGTAACTCCAGACTAGCAGCTCAGTTTTCTGCTTCCCAGTTCAATGATCATTTCACTCATATGCTTGAAGTAGCTCAGATACAATATTAGATTGGGAGTATTATGATCTGTTAAAAGTAAAATTCCCTTCAAATATTTTCTCAGAGGCTTTTTTTCAAAAGATTAATTCAGTAATACTTTCATGACCAGAGGCCACTGATTTTAGGAGCTTAAGTACACAGAACACAGATGAGGAAAGCACACACACACGTACACACACAATCCTTACATTAAATTCTTATGCAAAAATAGACCACAAAATCCTTACACTAAAGCTCACCACTTTTTCTGGACTCATTATAGCATATTTCCTTCGACTTTGAGTTCTGTTCTATTGCCTTTGTTCTCCCGATTTTCTGCCCAGAGTAGATAAGAAAATGCGTTCCTTAGCTTTGACAGGAAAGAGCAGGGCACAGGGCTGGGGAGAGCACCATTGCTTGTTGCAAGCACACTGTGACCAGCAAAAACAACTGACAAGCCAGCAAAACCAGCCTGACAGTGAGGAGACAGAAAACTACATGAAAGACTCCTTTAGTAGAGAAGCCAATAACCTGCTTACTTCCATAAGCTCAACACTGAAAAGACATTTACATGTATTCACTGCTAAAACTCAAGCAGGTTTAGGCAAAACAAAAACCATACTAATCCCTACAGGGCAATATAGGAAAGTGTTGGGGACCGCGCCCCACCTCTAGGACTTGAGGTACGTTTCTGAAGGGTGGAGGCAGACTCTGTCTTGCTTCTTGCAGGTTTTAATATCCAAGGAGGCCTAACGTGTATGTGTGTGTGTGTGTTGAAGGATATTTGTGGTGGGGGGTGGAGCTGATGGTACATAACATCAAGAAAATTTCAAATGAATCAGGTTGCAGCATTGTAACATTATGAATGGACAGTAGGGGCCCATTCTCAACAGGTCCAGAAAAATAAGAAACAAATTAAACTAGGGAACAAGACCTAGCCTTGGGAGGGAGAGATTAAGAACAGTGTTAAGGCATAGCCAGGAAGATGAGTTTGGGGGAGGATTTCTGATTCTAAATCGGATTCAGAATTGGAATGTCAAATAGGGAAGCAGAGGCAGGAGCCCATAATTAGTACTTGGACCCGTAGTGTAGGGCCAACAGGGACAGGCTGCAGCTGGGCGACCAAGGACTTCTCAGAAGCTCTGGTAGCAGACAGTCTTGCCCTTCCTGTCACACCATCTACACTGCAACATCAAGGTTGTTTCAGCACCAGAGCGGGTTGAGCGTGTACAAGAATGGAACTGGGAATTTAGCAGCTGCCAAGGAAGATAGGACTTGGTGTCATAATCTTTGATGAAGCAGGCAGGAAAATTATTTTCCTCCCTCCTTCCCTCCCTCCTTCCCTTCTTGCCTCCTTGCCTCCTTGCCTCCTTCCTTCCTTCTTTCCTCCCTCCTTCCCTTTCTTCCATTCTTACTTCCTTTTTTCCTTTCTGTTTTATGTAATTACTACTTTATCACCTATAGTCATTTCCTTAGCCAATTACAGCTTTGCTCCACCCACCTTGTTTGTGCTGTTATTGACAAACATAACAATTTTATTACATTTCTTCATGTTCTAGGCTCAACAACACATTATATATATATATATTCACACACACACATATATATAATGTATTGTTTTATATATATGTAGTTGTATATAAATGTACTTTTGATCTAGAACATATGGAAAGATTTGGTTGTTTAATAAATGGATTTACCTCTGTTTATTGATATTATCTGTATGAGGTGACACTGTGTTACATCTTCCTTCACTTCTTTAGACAAACTTCTGTGCTGTGAGCATCTTTCTAATGGCTACTTTGAAATGCTTTCCTGTGAGATCCAACATCAGGTCACATCACTGGCAGCATCTGTTGTCTGCTTGTTTCCTAGTGTATGAATTATACTTTCCCATTTCTTTTCAGGCTTTGGAACTTCTTGTTGGACACTAGATTATTTTAGATAGTATGTTGTAGCAGCTCTAGGTACTGGTCGCTCTCTTCTCATCTGGGACTTGTTATTTGCTTGTTTATTTGTGGAATATCTTTCAGTAGTGAAGTCCATTTTCCCCCATGGTGTTCAGTCTCTGGTGTTGCTCCCCAGGGGCACAGCTTGGACTGTGCCTCAGGGACCCTGGGATGATGGTGGCACTGGTAGGGGTCCCTTCTACTCTCTGCCTGACCACAACGAGATGGTAAATTCCACTAAATGCCCACTGATCCATGTACTATTTTCAACAATGCCTTGGGCATAGATTCCTCTACAAACTAATCCAATCAAAATGTGGCGTCTTGGAAGGAATAATTTCAGAGGTTAGTGTTTGATATTTACCCTGATCCCAGAATGACTCCTCCTGGCTGTCTTAATCCCAGGTTCTCTTCTGAAAACTCACTGTCTGCAGCATAGGATGTACCTCTATTAGATCCATGAATCTCTCCCCAATTGCCTAGCCCCAGAATTTCTCTTAGGAAGAGAACTGTGTGAAAGCTGAGACCTCTAGGGCGGAGTTTGAAAGACTAGGAAACAAAAAGGTCAGGCTTGCAGCCCAAGCTGTGTCATCTGCCTGAGAAATTCCCAGGAATTTGGGGTTGGCATGTAAGTAGTGAGAGGGAACAGAGAACAGAGGTTCTGTCAACATGGAAACTTCAGGAAAAGACAACCATCAAGAAATAAGTAGTATTAGAGTAGCCAGAGGATTTCTAATATTTGTGTTTGAGTTGTATGTGGTGCTGCTATGGAGGTGGCTATGAATGTAGGCCTGTGCTGGCCATACTTTGAGAAGGAAGGAAGGCATTTTCTTCAAGGCTGTCATCCTTCAAAGAAAAGACCAGCATGCCCAGGAAGGCAAAATGGTCCATAAACTGATTCAGAACTCTAGAAAAAGTGTTTTCCTTCTTGAGCATCCCAAGAGGAGTTGCAAGGGGAGAAAAGTTTACCCACTGTTCTCGGTAAAGGGGCTCAATCTATTCTATTTAAACTTCAAAGGACAATGTGACCAAGCTAAATATAGGCCACTCACATATTATACTCATGCCCACTTTAGGAGGTAGGTATACAGATAAGGAAATGGAGGCCAGTGAGGTAGAGTCATGTGCTCATTATCATCCTACTAGCAAGTGGGAAAGCCAGTATTCAAGTGCTCAGCTGACTTCAAACCCCTGCTGTTGTCAGTATGTTACTCTTAGGGACTAGAGGGATTTCTCTGTGATTCTTATACTTGAATCTTGCTTTTCTAAGGAGCTACATTCTTCTCCCTGGACCAGCCTCACCAACTAGGCCTCAGAAGAGGGGGCCTAAATCACCTTGACATGCAGAGGGTCCTTCCTTGCTGTTGTGAACTTTTTCATGTGTTTTGCTGCCAACTCCGGTGCCCCTGACTTCTGTCGGTCTGCCAGGGTGCCTGTCAGCTCCCATTTGCTGGGCCTCTCTGATGCTGCCATCTGTCTTCCTGCTGAAATTTCCACCTCAAGCTTGCCAACACATTCCCCTCATACTTGGTTCCGCTCAGCTGCCTGGATTTACATGGCCTTTTGATGGGTCTTCACTCAAGTTCCAGTCACACCCTAATTGATTGGTCTAGTTTTTAGGTTCTGGCCATCACTGCCTGCTCCCAGAACTGAATGAGGCTTGTTTGTGAGCCCGGGGAGCACA